TGCCCGGCGCCCGCCCCCAACCCCCTGACAGCCAATCAGAAGAGGCTGCGCAGGGGGGCGGGGCTGCGCTTTGCCTCGGCTCCTCAATGCCTCTTGGGAGTCTCACGCTCCTCCTCCTTCTGCTCTGAGCGCTTCCTCCAATCGGTTCCTCCGACCCCCGCAGGAGGCGGGGCTGGGAGTCGAAACGGGCGCGGACAGTGGGTGGGCGGGGCAGCCGAGTGCGGCTGGCGGCGTCCCGATAGGCGGGTCAAACAGACAGCCATCCATCCCAATGACCCGTTCATTGGGGCAGGGGTTGTTTCTGGTCCTATTTCTGCACGGATTCTACTGCTGCCATAGCTTCAAGATGGAGCGGACGGAGGCAGGAGCGACCGAATGCTGAGCAGTGGAACCTGCGGAATCGGCCGCGATGGGATCCCGCGCGGGCTCGCCCTTTGGGACACTCCGCTTCCAGTGGCTGCTGTTGTTGGGCTTGGTGGGCCCAGTCCTCGGCGGGGCGCGGCCAGGTGGGTGTCCGCCCCCGGGGACCTTTGGGGTTGCCGTTTCCTAGGGCGGGGACGCTCGGAGTCACCCCGAGGTGCCTGTGAGTGGAGGGGCCCGGCCTGGCGACTGGACTCGGGGTCGGGAGGCGGAGCCGCCCCAGCTGTGTGTGTGGGTGGACAGTGCTCAGACCCGAGGGTTGGGGGTCTGGCACCCCGAGCCCTTCTGGGCACGAGTCTCTTGTCGGATCCCTCTTACTCCGCCTCCTGTTTGACAGAGCCGTTTGCGGGGCTCCCACCCCCCCATGCCGCGCCAAGCTGGGTCCCCCCCATTCTCTCCAGGCTACTCTGGATCCGGCTCTGACCTCGGGGAGTCTGCTGGGTGCGCGCCGAGGGTGTGTTCCTATGTAAACTGTTCTGAGACTTGGGGCTTGGACTTGCTTGTGAAGTTAGTGTCACTTGGAAAGAGGCCGGGAGGTGATGGGACTTTTGGTCTCGGTTATCAGGATTTGAAAATTGGACGTTCATTCGATCAGCGGGGTCACCCAGAGCTGACCAGTAGGTACCCAGAGCTAAATTTAGTGATGGAATAAAGGTGTGTGTGTGTGTGCGCGCGCGGGCTCAGTTTTCTTGGGCCATTTTGTTGTAGTAAGACTACTTCTTTTTGGAACCGAAGGGCTACATTTCTTTGGCCAGTCTTCTATCTGCGTTTTTCCTGGGTTTGTAATGTCTTAAATACTGACAAATAATCCCTGCCCTGCTGAAGTTACAGGACTTACGTAAACTTGCTTTTGAATTGTAAAGCTTCCCTTGGATTCGTAAGGCGTTAATATTGGAGGCGCCCAAACATAGTGGAAGCAGATCGCCAACACTCTAGCTTCTTTCTGGACACAACTTTATTTTGGCTCCTGTGTTAAATTATTGTTTGCATGTCTATATTTCCCTTATCAGTTATAGAGTATGATGGAGAATGGTGTGTTGGTTTTTTTTTTTTTTTTTAACACTAAATCATTGCCTTGAGAATTGTTCAAAGGTGATGACGGAAAATTTCAATGCAGGCTGGCTGACCTTCAGGAAACTAATTACATTTTTTTCTTATCTTTGGTTTGTTCTTTTTCAATTAAATGAATTTGTCCCATTGCAGGGATTTTGAAGCTCTAAGTAAAACTTTATTGAATGGGAAGCTACTAAGTATTTTCTGGTTAAGATTATTTTTGCCATGACATTCTAGGTGGTTAACATTTACCACTATTTAAGGTGAAGTAGTTTATACATATGGAGTTTTAATAATCTATGATTCAGTGTGATTGCAAATATAACCAAGACTATAAATATATATATATGTGTGTGTGTATATATATATATATATATATATAATTTTTTTTACACAAAAACAAACTCTTTGTTTCATTTATTTACTTTTCCCCTTTTTACTCAATTTTTGGGGTGACACTGGTTAACAAAACTATACAGGTTTCAGGTTCACAATTCCACAGCACATCATCTGTACACTGTATTGTGTGTTCACCACACCAAGTCTCCTTCCATCACCATTTATTCCCCCCTATACTCTCCTCCACCTCCCCCCTTCCTGCGATCCCTACATTGTTGTCCATGTGCATGGTTTTTTAGTTTTTTTCTCTTTTTTCTTAATCACTCCACCTCCTCCAAGAGCCCTGAGCCTGCTATCTAACACTATATATATATATATATTTTTAAAATAATAATTTATTTTGAAAGTATTACACATGTCCCCTTTTTTCCTCCATTGACCCCCTCCAGCCCTCTCCTACCCCACCTCAGGCCTTTAGCACCCTATTATGTGTGTCCATGGATTATGCATATATGCATACAAGGTGTAAGACTATATTTTTAATGTTAGTATTTGTATTGTGAGTACATGAAACAGTTTATTCTTGTATTATTTGTTATTGTATTATTTTCCATAAGGAAAATCTGCTTTTGCCCATCCCTGTATATAGTTGTATGGACTATCCTTGTGGTTTTTAACTGTGGCTTTTAACAGTTTATGGCCAGTGCCTCACTTAATTAAGCATATATATGCTTTCAAAATTTAGTCAGTGTTTATCAAACGCCTATAAACATCATGCTCAATTCTTGTAGAGGGGCAAAGGATGACTAAATGTGCTAAGTCTAGGTGAGGAATGTTGGGGAAGGTTTCACTGTGGAAGTGATATTTGAACTGATCTGTATTGGTGAATGTTCAAGTAAAGGGATAGGTGTTATAATGTATCCCGCGAATCACAGAAGGACGCCTCAAGAAGTCGAATTAAAGCGTCACATTTATTGCAAATTCGGGACTATGAGGGGCCATTTCCCAAATCTCATAGTGATAAGATGGCCGCAGTACCAGATTTATATAGGCAAAGATCACAAAGGTATTGATTACATCCCAGGGTTTGGAATGAGGAACCTGATTTGCAAAAAAGCAGTTTACAGAAGCAAAGCAGCATGTTATCTAAATCACAGTTTTGGGTCTCCAGAACACTGAGTCAACAGGGACACGTTAACTGGAGCCCTCTGACCTTGGGATAATTGTGCTGTCCTTCCCAGGTAAAGGAAAATGTGCTTTCTAAGACCAGTATGACCACAACCCATGGGATATTCACATTACAATCAATAGGGTATTTAATCGAATTGGATAATTTATATAATTCAGAAAATCAAAATAACTTTTCTATTATTTTAGCAAACAAATAAGTACAGAAACCAAACAGCAGGGTTAAAGTTAAACTATAGTTTCTACCTGAGATGATTGCTTCTATACTTCATTGGAACACATTCTAAGCAGAAGAGTTTTTACAGGAGTATGGAGGGGTGAAAGAACATGACTTGATAGCAATGATGAGAATGTCTCCAGGCAGATGCCTATGTATGAAAGAGAGGCAAGGAAGAACGAAGGGAGGTTTGTACCAGTTGGAAAGAGTCTTACATGCCGTGCTAAGGGGTTTGGACTTTACCCTGTAGGTAAAGTTCTTTGGGTAAAATTTGTGATGAAGAGAACTGGCAACAAAATGGATGACAGAATATAGGAGGGAGAGGCTGGAGGCTGGGAGAGACCCGTTAGGAGGCTTTTGTAATAGTGTGTAGTGAGTCAACTCCTGTCTCCCTCCTGGAATGTTCCTCCAAAATCAGCTGACTAAACTGTTGCAATACAGGAAGGATGTTTAAATCATGCGCTGAAATCTTTTCTGCTAATGGGAGAGGAATTTGAAGACCTAATAAGTACCATATACATCTTTGTTAAATAGGCTCTGGAAGAGTTTTTACTGCCATTGTGTCAATGAGGAAGTGCAGTATAAATTCCAAACAGATGGCACTCACAGGAAAACTTTTCCTTTTAAACGGAGACTAACAAAGGTACCTATGTGTCACTGTGAAAAATAACAAAGGGAATCAGGTATGAAACCTCTTCTGATGTTCTCTTTTCAGGTAGTAATTTTGATGCACAGACCTAGAATTAAAAAGAACATTGAAAAAGACTAGCATTCTAAGGAAAATGAGTTTTAAAGTGTAATTACTCATGGTGACTCACTGTAAAATGAACTATGTAGTAAGAACTTAGGTCCACACTAATTTTGTTTTTTGGTGCCAGCAAATTATTTGAATTTGATGTTTGTACTGTACAGGAGAGTGTAGTCTTTTACATTGAAAGACAATTTGGTTTTCATACTTTTAAGTAAAAAGTAAAATGTTTATAATTAAAATATGTATAGAACAAATTGTTGGGTTCCAACACAGTTTTCAAAAGCACTTTACATTTTACCTTACCAAAGTGTAAAGTACCTTTATGTTTGTGTTTTATTAAAAAAAAAATCTTGGTTTATTATGAATCCTCCCCAAAGAAGCAAGTTCTCAGTAACTGGAGGCTTTTTCTTGGAATAGCCACAAGCACAAATATATGACAAATAGCCTCATGATATATACAGGGTGGCCCCGAAAATATATAGACACATTTTAACAACTGATGGTTTAGTTTTGAAAATGAAATGTGTTTTAATAAACACTGCCTTTATTATTTTTCTTTTTACAAAATATATTTTTATTGATTTCAGAGAGGAAGGGAAGAGAGATAGAAACATCAATGATGAGAGAGAAATTGACTGCCTCCTGTAGGCCCCACACTGGGGAACTAGCCTATAACCCAGGGCGT